GTTTACTTCCTTCCGCCCCATGTTTCTTGAAGAACAAAGTTGCAGTAGAACTATCATCAAGCAAGTTGGATTGCTGTGCTGAGCACTCGCGGGATCCCAAGCTGTGCAGTATGAGGATGGATGGCTTCATCCGTGATGTGAGGACCCTCCTGTTGATGGAACTCAGTTGTACTGCATCATTTCCTTTTTAGCGGTTACGAACTACGGCCTAATCGCTGCCTGTCTTCTAATAAGGAATATCACTCGTGAAAATCTTTCGTCTCGAGGCAGCATGAATTTCGTAGTAGTTCAATGGCGGGGCAACTTCTTTCGACGGTCTTGTCGTGAGGCGATCCGAGTGGGGATCAGAAGTATGCAACCTATAACGACCTCTTGAATTTCTACTTATTGCACACGTTTAGGTTGTCGCCGTCCTGACCGAAACCGTCCATTTTTGGCTCAAGCGTTTCGATCTCTTCGTGTAGCTGTACATCGCGATTGTTCAGTGGATACTTCTACAGAAACGTTGATATGTGTAAGGCGACGAGGACGGATCAGCTTCGTTCGACTTCCTAGTCGTGATGCGATCCGAATGCGGATCAGAAGTACGTCATCAGCAACGTTCTCTGTACACCTTTTGAATGTGCTCATTTAGGTTGAAACCGTCCTCCTTATCTTCACCGGCACATTTTGGTGGACTCTTCGTTACGCTTGTACAGCTGTGATTTACCAATAGGGAGTCTTCCCATCTACTCGCTTAAGGATATAGAACATCGAATTAGCGGGACCGGGAATTGTTCGTCGCAAAATTGTCTCGGTAGGGAAGCTCATAGTCATTTCCGTGCGAAATTTGATTGGAAATTCGCAGGGCTACTTCACGTTCATGGGTGAATCCGAATGTTTAGGTCACAGTCAAAAGTGCCACCGGAAAGCAGGTAGCCGTCTATCCTTCTGGTGGGTGATCTGATCAGGGATCAGGGGTATGTCGTCAGTTGTTATTTTCTGTCGTATCTTTTTCTTTAGATTTGACAATTTAGGTAGTTTTGGCTCGCGAAAGCAGTTCGCCGGACATCCCTCAAGAATCTCCGATAGTCGACATCGCGCTCCGCACCTTCTCAGGAAGAACAACATTCCTCAAGAATCTCCGATAGTCGACAACGCGCTTCGCGCCCTCTCAGGAAGGACAATATCCATCAAGAATCTCCTATAGTCAACATCGCGCTCCGCACCCTCTCAGGAAGAACAACTCTGGAAAAGAAAACTGCTGGACGAATATGAAGAAAGAAGAAATGCTTCTCCGGTGGATAGCGACGGATTTTTGGCTTCTAAACGCAAACACCTTATGGTGAAGGTTTGCTGATTTGACTCTTCACGAGTGCTCCAATTTCCTACTCAAGTTGTCGACTTTGCAGGAGGGCCGGTTCGACAATGACAGGAGCCACGAGCCGTCACACGGAGCAGCCGATGTGAACAACTAACTATAAGTTGTGCAGGTGTGATTGTTTATAAGTGTGGGCGTCTAGGCCTATTACCCTACTTCTTTCGTTTTGTTTTACTTCTAGGATTAACTATGTTGTTTTCTGTAGTTTTGTTTTAATTCTAACATTTTTTATGTGTTCTTAGTCGATAGGTGACATTTAATTCTTTGTATTTTCTTTGTAATTTTGGGGTTAGTAGTTGTTAG